ATCAACCTGTGAGGGAGCAGAGGGCTGTGAGAGACCCCTGCCCAGCAAGGAGCCCCCACAGGGCCACCCCAGGCCGCAACCCCACCCTTTGATACCTGATGACGGCGTCGAAGAGCACTTTCTCCTGGGGGTACTGCACCAGGATGGGCAGGAGGTCGTTCTGCAGGATTTGGGCTGCCCCCAGCTGCTGCCGCACGTCCCGGGTCTCGTCCTCATGGCGCAGGTACCGGATCAGGTCCTTGACGCTCTCTGGGGACACGGGGCTGTCAGTCCCCGCCGTCCCCGACCCCTGGCCTCCCCCCTCGGTGCCCACCTACCCAGGCAGTCGGGCTCCCGGTGGTACACGTCGCCCTCCACGTAGCCCAGGGCGCTGCAGGTGGCCAGGAGCTCGCAGTTCATCATGTACCAGTCCATGCAGCGCGGGGCTGCGCACGGGACCAGCACCGGGGGTCACCTGCGGGCCACTGTCAGCGCTGGGGACCCCCGGGCTGGGCTCCTCCCAGCCGTTCTGGGCTCCCCCGGTACACTGCCGGTCCCGGTTGCCCAGATCCCGGGTGCTCTCCGGTCCCAGTTTCCCCAACACCGACGAACTGCCCAGGCCGGGTCCCGCTCGGTACCGGACCCCACCGATCCCACAGCAGTGCCCAGGCTCCGGTACCCCCTCGATCCCAGCGCACCTCCCGTTCCGGTGCACCCCAATACCGGCGCATCTCACAGCCCCGGTTCCTCCGATTCCAAATCACCCCCCAGTTTGGGTTCCCCCCCCAGTCACGGATTGCACCCCGGTCCCAGTCGGTCCCGCTGCCTTCTCGATCCCGGAGCATTCCTGACCCCCCCCCGCCCGATCCCGGATCTCAGCCCCCAGGCTCCCCCGGACCCCCGTCCCCAGTTTTCCCCGGACCCCCCTGATCCCGGAGCACTCCCCGAGCCCGCCGATCCCGGAGCACCCTCCAGAGCCCGGAGCACCCGGAGGTCCCGCTTCCCCCGATCCCCTATCAACCCCCCCGTCCCGATCCCCTCCGGTACCGAAACCCCCCCTGGTTTCGGTGACCCCGGATCACCCCCAATCCCCGGTCCCGGGCTGTCCCGGGACACTCCCCGCCCCCAGACCCCCCGATCCCGGTGTGCCCCGGTGCCGGCCCCCGGCATGCCGCTCACCGCCGCCCCGTCCCCGCCGCCCTCGGCCGCGCTCCCGGTCCCGGCGCGGGGGCGGCGTTACACAACCGCCCCACTTCCCGCGGGGCGAGGCCCCGCCCCGCCCGCACCCTTCAAGCGGCAACTCCTCCTCAGCGGCCCCGTGACCCCTCTGGTGACCCCCCCGCCCAGTCCGCACGCTCCCCGCCATCCACCACGGGCACAAACCGGCGGCTCGGTGCCTCGGGGTGCCCCCAATCCCCCTGCCTTCGCCCCCCGGCCCGACCCTTCAAGCGGCAACTCCTCCTCAGCGGCCCCGTGACCCCTCTGGTGACCCCCCCGCCCAGTCCGCACGCTCCCCGCCATCCACCACGGGCACAAACCGGCGGCTCGGTGCCTCGGGGTGCCCCCAATCCCTCTGCCCTCGCCCCCCGGCTCTGAGGGGTGGAAGACGGGAGGGGCTCATTGCGGGGAAGGGACGCGGTGGTGGCGTTGCCCTTTTAAGAACGGCGCTGGCTGGGCGGGGCCTGCCCCGGCGAAACGAACGGGCGGCACCTCCCGCCACCCGCCGGGCGGGCTCCGGTGTCCCCCCCACCCTCGGTCCCTCCCGGTCCCCGGCGCCGGGCACGGCCGCGAGCGGTTACCAAAATAAAAGAGCAGGTTTAATTCACCGAACACAGAAGTCCCGCCGCGGCGGGGCGGGGCGGCCCCGGCCCGGTACGGGCGACCCCCGGGCAGCCCGGTAGCCGGTTCCCCGGCAGCGGCGCCCCGCCGCCGCCCGCCC